TATGTGGCATGCTATTTCACAAGCATTAGTGCATACTACTGAGTATATGGAATTTCTACGATTGGTGACTGTGTTCACTTTTATCCAAAACAAGCATTATTTTCAAAACTTGATTGATGAACAGCACTTTGCCACCACTACTTTTGAAGACRTTGTAGTTGATGCCTTAACTTTGGGAAGTTGGGGTAATGAATATCATTTGCATGCCATGTGTTTAGCTTTGAACCGACCTATTCATAACTTTACGTCTTTCATAATATCTGACGGTTATATGCCAGATGAAATGAATGTAATCAATAGTCTTGATGAGCTCATACTTGCATTTGAAAGAAATGAACGAGGAACTCGGCAGCACATTTTGTACATGCCAAACCACACAATAACCAATTCGAGAACTCCACTGAGATTATTTCTTTCCTCTAGTCACTATAGAGCATTWATACCTAAAGTGCAGGGTGTGCCTTTGCCAGTACCATACAAAAATTTATTTGAAAGGCAATCAAATTATAGCCTTTTGAATGACTTCTTCAATGACTACAGTCASGATGCTGGTTTATTAGACTTTGAAGGTTGAAAAGGCATCATGGCTCTGTATTAATGCTCAAAGTATTACAAATTCACCTGTATTTTGGCATTATAAGGATGCTGATTTATTATCTTGATGGTTAGAGAAGGCATCTCAGTACTTTTGTATAAATGCTGAAAGCAAACACCAGTGTAGTGTGATTGTAGGCAATATTATGCTATCTCAGCATGTCTAAGGAAAGGCTATCAGACAAAATTTAGACCCCCGCGAAGCTTTCAACCGAAATAGACTGGACACGAGGTTTCCTTGACAACAGACGCAAATTGGATGAATTGATGGCGTCGGTCTGTGWATAGACGCTATCTGTCGATATTTTAGTTTATTATGTGTTTTTCGRGAACTTTTTGCTGTTAAACAGCAAATAATATTGTTTGTAGGATTGCCACGTTCTATTTGGACCATTGTGTGAAAGAAATGTTGTATTTCTACCGAAGTTATCTTCAAAAGAGTCCTCGACACGAAGCGACCACGGGACTGCATGACATAAGCTTAACTTAGAGACATGGAAGWTGAGGTTTATTATGGTTGATTTAAAATTTGTATCTTGGCAAATTGTCTGTTGGATAATTTTATCAGGCCTCCAAAYATTTAAGKTAAGATTTTCGCTAAAATTTTGCCATATACATGTACTTAAGAGTGAATGTCTGTAAAAATCAAACAAAAGGTGGCAAACCTTGAAAAATCGATTTCGCTCATACTTATACTATTGATAGGGTAGAGTGTCCCTATAAACGCTGTGTAGTTAGTTTGGCTGAATATCGTGTTTTGGGGGAGTTATATGCAAATTAGTCGAGGGCACCGAAAATTGTAGATTTCAGGGCAAATTTTGGTCCCACTTTGCGAGCTCGCTATGTCAATTTGAGTAAYGCAAACACAAAACTAACTTTGGATCATTGTAACGCAATGTTTTGTTTACTCTGTGCTTGCTTTTCAGCTCGATACGGCGTTTCTTTCATACTGAAATAATTTTATTTTCGAAGACGTTATTTTTGTCTAGGAAAAGTATACCTTACAAAATTACAAATAACACATGTGCTAAACCTTCAAAGTCCTCGAAACTTCGAATACAAMGTTTCYAAAGAAAGATCTTTCGAACGGTGTAAAGTTTTCCTTGGGCAAATGTTTGTACGCGACACTACGTGACCGCGAAGTCGCTTAAAATCGCTTATTTTTAGACCTCAAAGTTCGCCAAAGCTATAACTCAAATGCAAAGTTATCAGGAAAAAACTTATTCAAAACATACCGTAATGAAGAAATTAGTTCTATTTTGGAGTAGATACAATATAAATGCTCTCGAATACATGAAACGCATACCATGAAACGGAAGTGTATCAATTTACATAAAGCAAGTTGTCAACGCTGAAAGACACAGGGAGCCCATTTAAAAAGTCTTTTTCGAAACATTGATCAAACAATTACTCTATTGCCAAAYTTGATTTGATACAAATAAATTTAACACATTCTCAAAGTATCACACTTATATTAAGCGTATTTCAAGTAAATTTATAAACAATTGTAACTGAGGGTTGGTGTGGGTCATGACCTTTATTATCAGTGACTGGAAATCTGATTCCTGGCCTTTCCCTATGATACCACTTCGTAATGTCTTGAAGTATGGATGCGTGTTGTTCGTTCAAATCAAAAGTTGGTAGTTTATGTGGTGCTGATAGTCGTGATAGGAAGCAAGAAGTACAGGTTATACCTCTTCTATCATGTGCTAAGGATATTTCTCACCATTTGTCGTCTTTCCCCTTTACTGGCGTCAACATGAGGTTGACTTGATATTATGCCGTGTGGGAATATTTAGCCGTCCTGAAAATGTGTCATCTATGACAATATGTCCTCTTCATCGGGGTAAACTTGGAATTGGCTGSACCAGAGGAGCRGCCACAAGATGTCGAATCCCGGGCGAGCTTTCAAACCATGGTACTGGTAAAAAACATTGGCCAAAAAGGGAGAGGGGAGTTGGCAGAGATGAGTCGGTTATAATATTACGCAAGACTGGTGTTTTTATACAAGCTGGATCTGGTATGTAAAATTTCTTTGCACAACACTATCCAAAATTGTTTAATAAAAGTATGTTATATTGGTACCCGTGCCTTTTTGACGTATGAAATCAAAATCTTATTGCGCAAATAGCCTTAAAACTGATCAGATATAAGTCATTATTATTTTAACAGTTTGTGCCAACTCCTATGAATCGTTCGAAAAAAAAATTCAATCAACGGTTAACTTTTGCAACCACGTCATKAAGGATTTTTAGGTTAAAATACTTTATTTCAAAGGCAATTCTCCTTGCACACACACTACGGCTGCAAAGCTATWATTTGTTTGCGGTTAACACCCTGCACTAGCAAACCAATGAARAAAACAATTATCGGAATACAATCGATGAATCGATTCATAGTTAATAATATTGACTATGATYGATTTCAATCGATAAAAATTATTCAATTAATGTAGATTGTTATTCATCAATCGATGATCAATCGAAAGGGCAAACAATACAAATAATCTATGAATGAAAATCGTGGTCTCTCTCACAGCCGTATTGGTCAATGAAGCGGAAGTGTCCGGCTGTGAGAGAGACTACGATTTTCATTCATTGAGTTTCGWCTTCCTCAGTATTATATTTTGTATAATAGAAAATCGATGATAATCAATGAGAGGTCAAATTTATGTGACATCTATTGGTCATTGATCTTTGATATCAATCGATTACTCGTTATAGAGTTGCTATGGATTAATATCGATTGTCATCGATTTCATCCTCGATTGCGTACACCAATTTAACATTGACAATTCTTTGCATATGATGAATGATCAATTTCAAAATGTTTTAGGAATATGCCGTAAGTGTCGAGATATCATAAGAGATCTACAACTGTCTTATGACGTCCAGGAAGTTGAAGATCGGTTTTCAAAAATTTCAACGGTTAGTGGTTCAAAACTCTGTAAAATCAATCTGCCAGATAGTTCTCACAAGATATATCTTGTTTTCTTTATTATGATAGGGTGATCCACTAGACGTTTCATCATCAGAACGAACTCCGTCACAACTCGCAGTTGGTACAAAATCCAAAAAGACGCCCTACAGTAAGCTTGCTACGCCAGCACCCTATACTCCATCAGAAATGTCCCTTTGCCTTGATACTAGTCTAGAGTTGCCATCTGAACAAGTGCTGGAAGAACAGACACCAAAGGAACTTCTCAATGCATTCTTAGCTTCGAGAGACATCAGCCCTGTCCGTACTTCAATGGGGACTTCATGGAACAAAGCATCAGCACGAACCCAACGCCACTACATGCGGAAAGCAAAGCAAGCTGTTTTTGCAGCCTTAGATGAAATCGCCCCCCAAAACAAAGAAAGTATATTCAATGCAATGAAGGAATTTCACCTGCTCGAGGACGAGAACTCTGTAGACTCTGTGCTTCTCAAAGCACTAGTTGAATGCTATGAAAATGCTGGTCACTGGAGTAGCCGAAGACAGATCCTATCAATTCTCGCAGACAAAGTAGATTTCAAATCCATACAGCAATTGATTCCTGACCTGACAAGATATCGTTTTAACATAGCTCGACACCACTTGTTTTTT